AATGGATAACAAAACTGCTATTTTCATTGTTTATTTATTTTTGTCCAGCTTTAACATCGGTATCGATATCGGTTATCGGCTACATGAGTTTTAAAATATCGGCATATCGGATATCGGCCAAAATCCCAATATTGTGCATCCCTAATATATAGTGCTTTGTATATGCCTACGGTAGCAAACCGTGGTACGATATTGTGCATCCAGCCATTGAGGAAATAAGGAAAAGAGAATTAAATGAAGGAGGTAGCAGCACAGAGCAGATGTGTGAAAAAAGTGGAAATTCCAAGATGAGTTGTGAAAAAGTGCAAAAAATCTATTGGAGGACAAGAGAAGAAAGACAGGAGAAGTGCTCAGATTGCATTAACATTAGTGTTAACTGAAGCTGGCAGATCAATGGATGCCAGATTACTTACTGCCACTAGATGGCGATGGCTTTAACCAATGTTCATGTCTGCTGATTGTGTGCAGCGCAAATATTCTTTTAAGATTCAAAAAGGAATAAGTAAACACTATCAGAACAAATGTTGGCATATATTGTTTTATTTGAGGATATGGGTGTTTACATGTTTCATAGTACATGACTAGGCCTCTTTAATTTTTTTTTATCATCTTCACTGATTAGTTGTGTAAAAAACATTAAAGTAGAGGTTTCTTGGCTATTTTATATCTATTTATTTTATCTAAATCTAAAGAAGTTAGTTGCTTAATAAAGTTTTGTTTCTGACTCAGTCACTGATTTTATTATGTGTAATGTTCTAACTGGTCTTTATCAATAATAAATTTGTCATTACATTCAAAATTGAATATGGTGTTCTATGTAAACACAAACGTAAGGTATAATTAAGCATTCCAAAGATTAAGATATACCACTACAGCCCTGATCAGCAGAGAGGGTTTGAACATTTTCTAATGAGTAGAACCTGTATTTTTATTTTGCTGCTAAACCCACAGATAGATTCTCCCTAAAGTTGGTGCATAGTTAAGGAGGAAATAAACACTTTTTTGTGGTGAGGTTTACTGCCAAGAGGCAAATCCTACAGAGAAGATCCAAGGCACTCAAGTTGGAACGTGATTTTAAACATTTGGGTGTTTGTTGAAATTGATTGCGAGGTAAAAAAAATAAAATAAAAATACGGCCAATAGTGTAACTTTCAATGTAAAGAATTTAAGACTGATCCAAGTTGACACTTGAACAAGCTAAGTTGTGTTTTAATTCTATGATTATTTCACATATGACTTACTGTATGACAAGTTGGAAACTTCATAACACACTGAGTCAGTATATATAAAAATATAATTTAATACGCTAGCAGAATATGATTAAATGAAAAGGCTATTTTGGAATTTTAATCTCTTAATGGACTAGCCCCTCCTCCACCGCAAGAATTTTTTCATTAAAAATAAAGGCAAAGTAGATCAAATAGGGGAGTCTAAGATGTGACTGTCTAATTTTGTTTTTAGGAGAAGTACCTTTAAACAGGCAGTATTCTCTTATTGTGCCTCGCAAACATGGAATACGATTCTCATGGTTGTACTTGTATATGGTCGCACAGTTCTGACCAAATTTAACAAAAGTCTGGTTATTGAACAGTCAAACTTCTCCAACAATCTTTTTCAGGTTTCCCTGAATTGAGATATTTGACAGTGATATAATTTACCATCTTTTGCCCCTGGAATATAAAAAAAACAATAATAAAAAATCTGGTGGAAACTGACTCTTCTTTAATCTCCTAACCCACCCAACCCCAAACAAAAACTCACATACACACACATGTTGTGTCACACTATCCTTGTGGATTGCCTTCCATTCATTCCAACCATGACCCTTGCCCTAACCCTAATAATTACCAACACATAGCTGACCCTAAATCTAACCTAAACTCAATTCACACCTTAGTTATAAACCTTAACCCCACCCCAAGAACAGAACTTCTCCTCATGAGGACCAGTCATTAGTCCCTAGAAGTACCTATTAGTCCCCAAAATGTTTCATATTCCTGGGAAATTGTCCCCACCAGGTAACAAAGACATGACCCCCACACACACACACCACACGCACTGACACGTTTCTCTATCCTTGTGGGGACTTTAAATTGACTTCCATTCATTTGTAACCCATTTCTACAACCTGATCATCTATCCATAACCCAATACACATCTTAGCATTTGTACCCATGAGGGCCAGAGGTTGTTCCCAATGATGAAAGAAATATGCGCCCACACACACACACACACACACACATATATATATATCATGTTATGTTTTTCATTGTAATTTTAGGTGTGTTAGAATTCCGTAAAAATTCAAAAAAATATCACATGTGATCACATATGATCTCCAGGAAGCTTTCTCAATTCAAGAATTGAGAAAGCTTCCTGGAGAGGTTGCGAAACGTCTTCAAAATCTTGGAAACCAAGTCCAGTGGATATTTTTTGAATTTTTACGGAATGACTATGACCTGGATGACTGAGAACCTTCATCAGCACAAGGTGTGTTAGAAGTTAAAAAAGACCAAAATTGTAAATGTGGCGAACAGCTAATTAGATCAACACACAATAGTTAAAAAAGATAACATTGTGTAACATTATGTTTTTGTGTTTTTTTAGTATTTAATGTGGGACAGTACAGAAGAGAAGCCACACAATCCTACAACAGCTACGAATTCTTTAAACCCGACAACTTAGAGGCCATGAAGATACGCAAGTATGAACTTTAAAACAGTCAACAATCTTTTCTACACATTAAATAAAATATTTCATCTACTATTATAATCACTTTTAAAATAACTATCAATTTAGCAGGAATTCATGCCTTATTTTACTCATCAAGCATTTAATTATAATATCTCTAAAATAAGGACTTTTCTTTCCTTAAAAGAAGCAGAAAAGGTTTTTCCATGCTTTTATCATTAGGAGACCTGATCATTGCACTGCTGCTTTAACTGGTTGCTCAACAAAAACTCATCAAAAATGTTAGTTTGACCACGGTTAAGTTAGGAATGATGTCATTCAGTCTCAAGTACTTTGAAAGCATGACTAACTGGGTCTCAATCAAATGAAGGTTTAGTCCTGTTTTATAATTATATTTTGTTCTGTTTACCTGTGAATACAGTGCCTGTGTAAATACGGCTCTAAAAGATGTATGTGACTACCTGAACAGGGACCGGGGCCAGGTTGCGGTGAGTTTACTTGAAGTTATTTCTACAAACAGGTTTGTAAAAAAAAAAATAAAAATTTCAAAGCAGGACTGAAAATATCCATCCATCTCTTCTACTCTTGAAAATTTTACATTTAAATAGTTTGACCTTGAAATTATTCAAATTCTCTTTAAGTCATAAGCTGAAATGTTTGTTTTCTACTTGTTGTTTATAAATATCAGATATCTTTATTTCCTTCTTGAAGGTTCTTGATGCCACTAACACTACTCCAGACAGAAGAGAGGTCATCCTCAATTTTGGCAAAGAAAATGGTTACAAAGTTAGTTTTTGTTTTTAGGTTTTGCATTAAATTGTCAACATCTGTGTCGAAAACATAATGCTACAGTTTCCGTGTCCTTCCTCTGCCTGTTTAGGTGTTCTTTGTGGAGTCAATATGTGATGATCCTGAAATCATTGCTGAGAACATTAAAGTAAGAATGAATGCAATTTCAATTGTTATTTAAGTGTAAATTAGACAAATGTAGATTAGAAAAACTAAATAAATCAAATTGAAGGGAACACATCCAGAATCCTTGGTGTACTGAGAATCTTTTATCTATCTTTAAACAGCAAGTGAAGTTGACGAGCCCAGACTATGTTGGCTGTGATAAAGAAGAAGCTCTTGCAGATTTCCTCAAAAGGATTGAATGTTACCAGATGACCTACGTTCCCCTGGACGACAACAAGGACAGGTAGTTGCATGGCAAGCTTCTTCCACGGTTCCCCCCCTTTACACAGGCGTCCTTCACAATGCATACCTTCATTTATGTAACAAGTCGATTCAAATTTTTACACACAGGGAATGATTGTGGTTCAAAGTGTTCATAATTTTCACATGTTGAAAATTTAAAAAAAGCTAACCGCACCAAGCTGTGCTGTGCTGCAGAACAGTACGGTGGCCCTGAAGTGCAAACTGCAACTACAAATCTAAAAGCGCAACTACATTAAGGAAATCGCAACTACATAAAGCAAAGCGCAACTACATTAAGAAAAACAAAACTGCATAAAGCAAAGCGCAACTACATTAAGGAAATCACAACTACATAAAGCAAAGCGCAACTACATTAAGAAAAACAAAACTACATAAAGCAAAGCGCAACTACATTAAGAAAAATAAAACTACATAAAGCAAAGCGCAACTACATTAAGGAAATCGCAACTGCATAAAGCAAAGCGCAACTACATTAAGGAGTTGCGCAATGTAGTTTTTCTTAATGTAGTTGCTCTTTGCTTTATGTAGTTGCGATTTCCTTAATGTAGTTGTGCTTTGCTTTATGTAGTTTTGTTTTCCTTAATGTAGTTGCGCCACCGTAGAACAGCCCTTTTACACTAGACTGTTAATGAGTTAAACAAATAGAATAATAACCAAATAAGTAGGAGGTCTAAAAGTTAAAGGAGTGGAATTGATCAGATCTTTTTAATTACTGACAGTGCTCTTGTTTCTCTTTACACAGGAGGTTATCTTACATTAAAATCTTTAATGTAGGCAGCAGATACCTGGTGAACCGGGTCCAGGACCACATTCAAAGCAGAATAGTCTACTACCTCATGAACATTCACGTGACACCGAGGTCCATCTACTTGTCTCGTCACGGGGAGAGCGAACTCAACCTCGTGGGCCGGATCGGGGGGGACTCCGGGCTTTCCCAACGAGGGGCAAAGGTGAGGAGTCAGCGCTTTGCTGGGACCTTCTACCTCTGAACCATGTTTAAGGTTAATTCACAGAAGGTTCTTTCAGCACCAACAGACCCCAGAGCAGTGAAGACAGCTCTGGCCAGGTTGCTCTATTTTTTGTCTTTGTTGTTTTTTTTACATGTCCTGTTGCAGCTAAACAGGCGTACCATATGGAGCAGATGGTGGAGCACATGGGCTGTTTTCAAAGGGTGTTTGAAAACAGAATCCTGATTGCAGGCATAACGTCATTAAATTCAATCCAGTATCAAAGTAGGCAGACCACAATAATTTTATATTAGCCTGTATGACCTTTAACCGTTCAGATCGTGTTGGCTTAACCCTCGACAGCTAGGCTGTCCAACGCCAGGCAGAGGGAGCTCTTTATACCCTTAGAGGGGCAGTTAGCAAAAGAGAGGGACACCCAGCAGCCTTCATCACCCTCAGTCAGCCATTCCACCTGTCAACACACTATTGTGAAAAAATTCTGGTCATAAAACAATTTTTATTTATCATCTAAATAATACATTGGAATTAGTGATGATTAAAAAAAAAACATTAAATGTGTGACTTTTTTTTTTCTTCTTTCATTGTTTACTATTGAGATCACTGGCAAATTTGAAGAATACAATTCAATGCTGTAACTACAGGATGTTTATTGATATAAATCACAGTTTTTTATGTAGCTGGTGTCCTAAAGATGTTTTATATTTTAATATTTTTTTTCAACAGTACCAAATTCAAGAAATTATTGAAGAGCATTTTATAGTCAATGTTTATTGTTATCACAAAAGTACCAGGAAATATCTTGATAAGATTTGAAGGCCACCCTACCATGCAGTAATTAATGGTCTATATTAAGTTTTTATGGGACAAACAACTGTTGTTGTTCACTTCTTGTTATCAAATTTACACTTTTATTTTGTCACTCTTCAGAATGAAAAAAAAATGTTTTGAGCATCTGGTTAGTTGTTGATCCCCCTATAAGCTTTTGCATTGCAGTTTTATAACCCCCAATTGTTATATTATTGGCCAACTTTGGTGAAGTATTTTGGGGGTAGATGGGTAATCAGTCGTTTAGAGTATGCAAAAAGAGTGTGGGGTAAGAACACAGCCCTGGGGTGCACCTGTGTTCAGGATTAGAACTGATGATGTGGGGTGTTCTTATTTTATGGAACCTTTATCAGCAATTATAAAATCCAAGGATTACAACAAGCTAGTTAAAACTGTTTATAGGTTTATTAGAGTACATATTTTAAGCTTAAGTGTAAACAAATTAGATCCTGGCTCACAGCTTGTGTTGGATACTCCTTATGAGCCGAGGCTGTGCCTGCTGTATCTATACCCCCTTGTTTTTGTTTGATTCATTGTAAACACCGTTCTGGAGAAGCACTCCTAGTTTTACTGTGACCAAAGTACACAGATAAAAGCGTCTTTCAGTTCAGCGCAGATAACAAACCAACAACAATTGTGAAATCAGAATTCCAAGTTGAAGAATATTTATCAAATTATCAATAGAAAAATAAACTAAAGATTAAGTTTTACTAAAAGAGATTCAGAGTGCAAACAGGAACTCTCAATAGAAAAAAGTGTTGCATATTGCAATAATTCAACCTAGAATGAAAAAAATGATTTTCCTTTGTGTGCCTAATAGTTTGCCAGCGCTTTGGGTACATACATGCGTGGGCAGTGCATCAGTGACCTCAAGGTTTGGACGAGCCACATGAAGAGAACCATCCAGACTGCAGAGGCCCTGGGAGTCCAATATGAACAATGGAAAGCCCTCAACGAAATAGATGCTGTAAGACCAAAAGCCTCATCGCCATCAAGCTGTTGAGGAAGTCTTGCTTTCAGTGATGAATTTATGAATCTAGCATGACTTCAAATTTTACTAGAGTATGAAGAATGCTTCGTTTTACCCATTTTTTAAAATAAAATCCTCTCATAGATTTTCAGTTTACATAGCTAATTTGACCATAGATGAAAAGGACATAAATATCATACATAACATAGGAGTTGAAACTTTTTTGTCACGTTGTCATGTATATCACAGCGATACAACAGAGCACACATCTTGGATGCTTTTTAACCTGATCTTCTCCATACAGGGAGTTTGTGAGGAAATGACTTATGAGGAAATTCAGGAACACTACCCTGAAGAGTTCGCACTGAGGGATCAGGACAAGTATCGATACCGTTACCCTAAGGGAGAGGTGAGTCTGCTGAGCTCAACAGAGAGAATTGTCCCTTAAAATTAAGCAAAATGCTGACCGAGGAATAAAATAACATAAAATATGCATATATTTTAATATCATTTAACCTTTATTTTTACAGAAAATCTGTGAAATAACCAGTTTTTAAAGAAACAAAAAAAAAACTTGATATAACTGAAACACTTTCTAGAGAGCTCACTACCCTCTGGTGGCCATTTTTGGAACACCTTTTATCTACTTGATTTTGTCCAAACAGAAGTCTTTGGCTCTCTCATTGCTTGTGGTTGTATCCTGTTACAGTGGAAATCTGCCAGTCCACATGTGAAGCCCTTAAGGCAGATCAGTCTATTATTATTTCACAAATAAGATAAAATAACATTTTAAAATCATGGTCTTCAGATCTAATACTACTCTAATACATTGATATATCTACTGCACCTATGTGGGAACATTTTCACTTGGAAGTTTGACCACAAATCTGATCTGGAATCAGTTTCTGTTTTCCTTTTTGCTAGTCTTATGAGGACCTCGTCCAGCGTCTGGAACCGGTCATCATGGAGCTGGAGAGGCAGGAAAACGTTTTGGTCATCTGCCACCAGGCTGTGATGAGATGTCTGCTGGCTTACTTCCTGGACAAGAGCGCAAGTGAGAAGAACATAAGCTAAAAATGTTCCGTTCTGATGAAATCAATCTAATATTTCTGCTTCCCTGTGTTCCAGTCGAGCTGCCATATCTGAAATGTCCTCTGCACACCGTTCTGAAACTCACCCCAGTGGCCTACGGTCAGTCTCTGTTGCCTGATAAGAAGTCAGGCTCAGAACATTCTGCTCTGGTTATCTGAGGGGTTTCAACACCTCTGTTTTTGTTCCCCCTTCAGGGTGTAAAGTTGAATCTGTCTTTCTCAACATCGAAGCTGTGAACACACACAGAGACCGGCCAGAGGTAAAGTACCTGCACCATCTGTTAGGTTACATGTGACACAGCTGCACGCACAGCAGCTGAAGCATGGGGGACAGAAATGGGTTTTTAGTTCTAATGAATGCATCCTGCAGGAACCACTACCATTTTCATCCCTACTGTTAAAATGCTGTCTTTGAGATCTGGTGAATAAGGGGACCGCTTTAGACCAACTTCAGATAGAGAACTTCATTGAAGAATATTTTATTTTCTACATCACTCTCTATCTGCAAAAACAGTTTCTGACATTAAAATGTTTCAGACAAAAATAACCTGAGAAGATATCTAAAGCAGTTTATAGGTGCTTATTCCATTTACTAAGCCAAACGTGTCTGAAAAAGAACTGGTTGCGCCACCTTCTGGCAGAAACAACAGCAACACAATATTTCCATCCAGGTATTTAGATGGCAAAGCAGCCCCACGTCATTCCACCACCACCGTGCTTTACTGTAGATTTCATGCTCTGTTGCTGAAATGCTTTGTTCATTCGAGGAGTGGCGGCCTGAGGTTGTGAGTTTGAAACCCACTCCCTGCCACTCTAGATCTCTGAGCAAGACCTTTAACCCCTGATTGCTCCCCAGGCGCTGCACAGTGGCAGCCCACTGCTCCCAAAAGGGAATAGGTAAAATGCAGAGAGTTAATTTCTCCATTTTGAGATCAATACAGTTCAATGGAGTTTGAACGATGCACAGTTTTTAGGTTCAACTTTTGTTTAGTTTTTTTTTTTTGTCCACAAACTGATTTTTGACCAAAGGTCTTTAGGGTCAATAGTTTGTGGGTTATTCGTAAATGTGAGACCGACCTTTTTATTCTTTTTTAACTCTCCCATAGAGGTGATCTTCGTCTTCGATGGACATTTTCTGACCTCCTGTCAGTGTTGTCTCTCCATTTGTGGAAATAACTTGTTGTGGTGAACACTTCTTGGAAGGTTCTCCACTCTTCCATGTTGTAATATGGTTCTCTAGAGTCCCAAAATCTTAGAAATTGCTTTATAAGCTTTACTGAACAGATTTTATTCCTTATCCATGTTGCTTTTGGAGTTAATTTACCCTACTTCATGATGTTGGGTAGGTTCTATTTCAGTAATTTTATCATTCTACAGGTTTGGCAATGATCAGTCCTGGTTTGGTTTAATCCTATTGAATTCATGATCCAACCAAGTAACACAAAAACTATTCACTTTTTTTTTTTTTTTTTTACATATGGCCAGGTTGGGCAAGATAACTTTTTTCCTGAAATAAAAATAAAAACACTTTTTCTCAGTTTTTTTGTTTTTGATGTTAAAATTATTTAAAAGATTTAAGTATGACAAAAACCAAAACAAGAAATCAGTGTTTTACTTTTGCTCTTAGGATTACAGACAAATGAAACTGTTCAAAGTTAAAAGCATGGATATTGAACTGAAAAATGAAGTAAAGACCAATAAAACCACCAAAGTTTTCCTTTTAAATTGTGCTTTTGTTTATTAAAATCAGACAGACAGCTTAAGTTTGTCTTTCTCAGAACGTGGATGTGGACAGAGACCCAGAGGAGGCGCTGGAGACGGTCCCTGAGCACATCTAGAGGACATCTCACCTCAGCCTTCATTCTCTTCAGAGAACATATCTTATTTTTAATTTAACTAATTCAGATTTTTAGAAAATCGAAAGCTTAATGACAATGAAAAGTTTCTTCGATGGCATCTTAATTCCATTGTTGGTGCACTTTATATGGTCCAGGCTGGGATGGTCTGTGACAAAAACTGTTTTAAATGTGAAAAACTGACTAGATGACCTGCATGGCTGCTCAACTGTTGGTAAACTGTTTTACACTTCATCACTTCACCCCGTGCTGTTGTATTAACTGTTGTGATTTTCACTTAGAAAGCAATAAGAGTCGAGGTAAGCCATGGTGTCAAGTTTAACTGTTTAGTGTTAGATTTGAAACTGTTGTTAAAGAACTGCCTGTTCTGTGATCAAACCTCCCAGCAGAGCCTGAGATCAATGCTTCAGTTTTCCTTAGATTAACGGGGTTAAAGCACTGGTTCTCAATCCCATTCCTCAGGACTCGCTGACCTGCATCTTTTAGGTGTCGCCCAGCTGCCCCACATCTGACCTAAACAAATGGATCATTAACATATTTCTGCAGCACTTAAAGGCATGCTGAGGAGCCATTTCAGTGGTACTTAGCTCCAGTCCTGAAGGGCTACTATCCTGCAGCTTAGGATGGGGATGGAGGGTTGTGTAACAACTAGAATGTTGCAGGTTTAAAGCTTCTTTCCAGAGTCCCAACGCCAGCGTTTCTCTCTATTTGGATGCTGAGTCGATCTGTTATCAGGCCTCAGTCACATACTAAGTATCTGATGACTTTGATCATTAAATCTTTGTTACAACTAGTTCAGTTCAAGGATACCAGGGGCGAAGTCTACAGTAGCCTAGAAGGAACAGATGACTAATTAAGTCATGACAGGGCCTTTAGTGTTTGTTTTTTACCGTGCCTTTAAAAAGTATTATTTCCTTTAGAGATACTTTTCATCCTGTTTTATGTATCTGGAATTTAAAAAAAATGTAGTTTGATAGATTATCTATCTTCTGAAGGTGCTTAAACACTTTTATTAAAAAAAGACATTAAAGGTGAAAAATGTTGTGCACAAGTTATCCTTATGCATTGACATCAACTTTCAGTAGTAAGGCATGTCTCCATGTTCTGTGGACTGTTAAAAGTTCCAGCTTATCCCAGTGGAAAAGTGGATCTCTGCAGGAATCTGCCTGTTTTAAAATCATCCAACATTCCTTCATTGTTTACCAAACATCTGCCCCTTCAGAACCGTGTGCTTCTGCCACCACCATGCTTCAGTGACAGGAAGATGTTCTCATGGTGATGTCAACCATAGGAGAATTTATTACATATGCTTTTGGAGAAGTTCCCATTCTTCAGGGATCTGGCTCACCAGCAGTAGATGGGTTGCAGCTGTAACACGTATATCCTTTAGTTCAACAGAACACTGATGAAAAGGATGACCTGTTACTTTAACTTCAGTACATTTCAAATGTCCTGCATTCTTTCTTTAATGAGAAATTTGAGGTTTTAATTTTTAAAAGCTCATCTATGTCTTTTAAAAGCAGATAATCAATAAGACATGTGTATGTTTGAGGTTTAACCTTGAATCAACAACAGGAAACAAATGCATCAGATTATCCTTTTTAATTTATTCAAAACTAAAATATAAATATTACTTATGCTGTAAGGAACTGAGCATTATAGATACATATAGAAAAATATGCAGAATACAGCTGATTTGACCAGCAGGGGGGAAGTGAGGCAGCCTGGGTTTCATCCAGCTGGCTGGCAGTGTGCAGCTGCAGGGGGAAACTTTTGCCAAATAGCTGAAAACAAGACTGGGACATCATCAAAAATATCAGAACAGCAGCTTTTAAAGCTCTGGATGGCTTTATGCCATTAACCGTCCGGTACTTATCAGTGCTAAACCACAGTGTTCTTTCTAAATGTTTGTTTTTGTCAATGATTGTCAAACTACGTAGACTCAACTAGCAACTGTGGGAAAAGAGTTTTAGCAGCGAGACACTGTCTTATATCTACAAACCCTTCTGCAGGAACCAAAAAATAAAAAAGTGGAGAAGAATTTCACCTGGACTAAAAAAAAAGAGAATCTTTCCTGGAGCCCAACCGCTCCTCTGTGCTACATAGTGGAAACACAAAAGCTGCTAAATTCTGATCTGGCATCGGTTACACCATTTCCAAGTTTGTTGGGTTTTTTTCTTTCAATCCACTAATAATATAATTTTTGGAAAAAAAGTAGCAAACAAGAGGCTATCTTTGGAAGAAATAAAAATGCAGATCTGTTAAGCAAAGTGATGAATATTTCAGATTGTTATGATTGGTCAGCTGATGCATCAAGCAAACTTTCCTCTAATAAACAACAGCTTCCAATTCAGGAAAACAAGTTTTATTTTTTATTTCAAGCCTCTTTAAGTATGTAGCCCATCTCAATAGGCGAAGACTATTTTTTTTTTTCCTTTATAAAAAAAAAAAATGTGAAGATTTACATTAGCTCATTAAAGGGTCTAGATGTATACTTTTCTGCTGTGATATTTCAAAGATTGTTACCAGCATTCCTTCCAGTGATTTTCTCCTGTTACTGTGGTACCAAAACATTAAACTAATGAACTTACTCCTCTTTTACGACAGCGTATTTCTAAAACCCCAAACTTCCAAGAAAAAAAAGCAACAAAAATAAACTTACTTGATCCCAAAGGGATATAAACATTGCAAGTCTCATACTTTCAAAATAAAACTAAACGAGACAAATTTTGTCATAAATATGAGTTATAACTCTACCTATATAAGTCATTAGTTGAAATGACATTTTAGAAAAGAAATGCACTAAATATACCTAGAATTTATCAGTCACAACATCACTGCATTGCAAAAACCAAAAAAAGGCCTGGACTTAAAAAAAATTGCTGTTAAATATTTGGTCACACGTTTAAAAATAGCATAAAAAGTTTTAGGTGGTGAAGTCATTAGGAGTTATTTTTTTCAATCAATGAATATATTTTCCAGCAGCTGTTATCTGTTTTCCATGAATCCAAAGCAGGAGGATCAAAGCATTGTAATAATTGTTCATTTATCACATCACATCTGGCAACATTTTCTGAATGTATTGCATGTAATGGGTCAATCTCAATCCCTACTCTGAAATTGAACATGCCTCACATAATTATGAAAGTTGAAATAATGACTTTGAGACCAATCGTTTTTATATGGTTTTTGATTTCTTTGAAAATGCAGTAACAGGTTTCTGAAGCTCTTCCTGGTTTACCTGAAATCTGTTTTTAAATTCTACCTGTGGAGTTCTGTTGCACTTGTGCACTTTTTAAAACCCATTTGCAAAGCTACTGCTTCATACATGTATGGTAACTTCCAGTAAATGGTCGATTGGTTAGAACCAGCTTTTCTCTACACTTTTAATTGGGCTGTGATTTTTCTTTACTTCACTTTCATGGTGTGTTTTTTTAATCATGATCTTAGCATTTCACCTCTGTGTCTCAGTCAATCACTGTAATTTACTTTTAAGAACCTGGATCTTTAAAACTGACTGCCTAACAGTGAAACATTGTTCACATTTGTTGTACAAGCTGTTGTTGTTGTAGCCATGCTGTGTGGATAAAAATAGGTGCCTGAATCAACTTCATGTTTGTACTGTGGTTATTTTTGAATTCCTGAAGTTATTCTGGAAAAAATTACACTTTGTTAGAATCTAGTCCAGATTTATCAGACAGAAACTAAAGATTGAAATTGATAAATTAACTCAACAGGTTCCTTAAATCTAATTTTTCTCTTCTGATAATATGGACAGTGATATCAGGGGAGCTTTTTCACACCCAGCTTCTTCAGAGACGTTTGTCATAATTTTATACCCGTTGTAAAAAAAAAAAAAAAAAATGAAAATATTTTATTTTTGCTAAACTTTACAAAAGCTAATAAAGCCTTTTACAAATATTTATCCAAATACAAAATCTAGTTAAGTTAAAAACATTGAAACCTCACAACAATTGTGAGATGGCAGAAACTTCTGACCACGTCTGTCCTCTGCAGCTTTGATGTACACCAAAAATAAACAAAATATGGAATAAATTCTTAAAATATTTTAAACATGTTTTTTTCCCACACTGATGTTCGATCGGCGTCCAGACCGAGGTCAACTTTGGAGCTTTTACCAAGATGATGAGAAGCTGATAGCCTGGTTTAACTGGGCTGAAACTAGCAGCATGTCTGGAGAGTTTTTAGGAATGAATGAAGTTATTTTCTGCTGGTGCTGGCATGGCTGGAGGTTTGGCTGGAGCTGGCGTTTTGGGACGAGCTGGATCCAGTGTGAGCTTCTCTGTACTGCTGACTCCAGCTCCGAGGATCCTGTTCATGAAGCTGAGGAAGTGAAACAAAAAAAACCCAGCAGATTATCATCAGTAAAACAACCTTTTGAATTGAATCTGATAGGAGTGCAATTTGCTCATTGAAAAGAAAATACTCACCTGACCCATAAACTCTAGGATCTGAGCTTTGGACACCTCCATGTCGGCCCGATGACCCCAGCGGAATTCATACTCTATTGGTTCTGTGTGTGGGATTCTAGTATACTCCAAGTATCTGCAAACATTAGCTTAATTAAATTAGAAAAATCGTAGAATATCAAACATTATTAACCAGGAATTACAGATGATGCAGGTTAAAAAAGCCTGATGCACAATAAGAGATGGTCCACCACATCCTGGACGCATAATGTTTGAAGTGTGTGTAACAGCCAGACCCTCTAGCTGTGCTGGCTGCTTCCACTCTTCAGTTAATCTGTGGTGTGGTATAAACCAGAGTCTATGGTCTGACAGACACTGGCTCTGAACACACCAGCTCATTACAATACAGTGACTTGGGTCGGATTTGAACCTGTGACATCTCGATAGGAAGTCTAAGTATTAATGACCTGAGCCACAGCTGGATAACAAGTGTGTTGTCTATGTGGTCAAACACTAAATCCCTTTGGTTTCTTAGGAACAGGAGTAATTCCTACCTCTGACGCACAAATTCTTCAGTGACGACCTTCCTCACATCACCAAACTCCTCATGTCTCTGCCTGGAAAGTTTTGTAACCAGAATATAGATTTTAATTTGATGAGAGACAGCAAGGTTACATAATTCTCCATAATCAACCTACTTAAAAAATAAAAATCTTGCCTTACCCCGGATCAACTCGGAGTTTCTTCAGAGTGTTCCAAATTTGGTCTAAGAAAACAACAATTTTAGTCTGATTTTGTCAAACAAATAGTGACTGTATCCATTAACAGCAGAAGTATAACTTTGGGGCAATAGTTAGACAAATAAATTAAACTCAAGCAGCAAAGTTCATGTCAGTCACGCACAGATAAGAATCAGCAAAAGCTACAAAAAATACCTTTTTACATCTTTGATGTTCAATTAATTAAAACTAGACAATTATAGTAAAATAAAAGAGTGATTTATCAAAACAGTCCAAAGTTTAAAGAGCCACATGGCTTATATTAGAAACCAACAAGATAATAACTCCACTACCCTTTTTGACTTTCTTTAGCATCTTAAATTATCCTTTACCAAAGCTGGGGTTACCGAGCCTCTGCTTGTATTGTATAAAAAGTTCATTCATTTCAACAAAAGTTTTTTGATCCCAAAGTAAAATAAAAAAAATTCAGTTGAACATTCTTTTTACTGAGGTTTCCTAAAGAATGCCAACATTGTCTGATCCAGGGTCAAGTGGCAATAAGTACTTTTAAACACTATAGCTATCTATAGAAAAAAGATAAGGCTGTCATACAGCACCAAGTACAGTTTGCAGCTCTTTGCAGAGAGAGCAACATATTTGCAGCAGGTTTGACAATCATCTAAACCAGAAGTCTGCAGCATTTTAGAGCCATTTTGCCCTGAATCAGACTAGGGAAGTCATACAGAGCCTCAAAATACTACACATTTTTTTAATAAAACATAAACTATTATTTTCGTCAAATATCTACAATAGGAAATCTGTTGCCTATTGTCTATTGTCTTTAACAACCCACAATTTATTTTTGTATTTTTAGCTTTTAAAGTAAGGAAAAACATTTTATAATGTAAAATAACGATAATAATAAAACATAATTTCCAAGCTAATTAAAAGAAAAATAGCTCTTAAAACATTTTTCTGTTGTTTCTTTTTTTATAATAGCAATTTTAAATATTCCTAATAAAATCCACTACAGCTTCTGTATATTAAAGCACATTATTTTTTTCTTCTTATCATTTATAGCCACTATTAAGAGCCATTATAAAGGGTCCAAAGAGCCACATTTTCCTCTCGAAGGTTGCCAAAAAATGGTGTTTTGTTTTTAAGAAACCCAACAAAGGTGCAATTAGTCCGTTTTATAAAGAAACAAAGCATCATGTAACTCACTCTCTCTGACAATGCCTCCTTTCATAAAAATAACACTCAGGATCACAAACAGCAGACCTGTTTTTGGGTTGCTTGGACATCTATGAACAGAAAGAACATTTTTATTTAAACTTAATGCTGAAAGTTAACGCTAGAAACTACAACCGATGGATGCTTATACTCACTTGACTGGTGAGGCTGCGGCTGCAGGGGTATCCAGATTATTGACCAGAATATACATATGATTTTTAGGGTCAATCTCAACCAGTTTTAAGCCAAACACCTGGGGGAAAAAGTGCAAATATAAATGACAGAATGACATTGAATATTAGAACTATATGGGAGCGGCTTTAACAAACCTGCTCAAATATCCGTTTTGCCCTCTTTATGATCTCAGGATAGACTGTTCTATAGTCCTTCACAATATTTTTAACCAATTCTAAGGAGAGAAACCAGCAGAAAGTTAACACCACACCAATCCGCTTATTAGACCGTTTAATATCTGCTCACCCTAATCCCCCATTCCCAAAACTGCAAAAACTAAAAATGCTTTCCAACTTAACATTATTTTATTACACACAAAAAGAAATACTAAATGAAAGTAATATGTAAATTATACTGCACTGAAAGATAATATAACCACTAATTTGTTTTCTTCCTCTGTCTTACAATGAGGACCAAGACACAAATGGAATCTACAGAGGCAGAAACTCTCTAAGCTCTTTGGTTTGAATGTGTACAGAAAAGAAATATACCAGTGACCACAATGATTTCTATGGTTCCTATCAAAGTTCTTTGACTAATGCTGCGTTCACACCGGACGCAGCAGGCGCGGCAGAAGCAGCGAGTTTACATGCAAAGTCAAAGGTTAACGCGCGTCAAGGCACAGCAAAAGGTCCCGCAGCGCGTTTTGAGCAGCAGGCGCAGCACGTCTGAGCAACTGAAGCAGCGCGTCAGGCGCGTTTAAGAATTTTACGCATGTGACGAGCCGCAAACGCGCTCCTGCTCGAGATGGAGAAATTGAACTTTTGCCGCTCGACGCGCCGCGTCAACCAATCAGAGAAGCTGATCTGGGAGCTGGCAGCGAGACAGACACATCGCTGATGACACAGTGCGCTGTGATCACTCCCCTGAAACAGTTTTTGACGCATAAATTAACTTAAAATGCAGAAATCTGTTGGCAGAATATGTTCGCTTTAATTATCCTGGTGCCTGCGGTTTGGATTATTTAAATGAAAAACACCTACTAGCTGCCGTGGTGAACCGCGAGGAGGCGACCCAGCCAGAGGCTGCTGTGGAATGGGATCCTACTGACAGCGCACCGCTGGTATGTGGGGGTCTGAGTGGCTCCGACAGAAATAATATTGGAAGGCAGGAATGTAATCTAGATGAACTGACTGCATTGATTAAGGCCCCGTCCACACGAAGCCGGCGTTTCGGGGGTCTGTAAACGATCTTTTTTTTATTCAGCCTTCAGAGTGAGAAGATTTCGAAACGCCGTTTTCGCGTTTCCATCTTTAAGCTCTAACCGCATTTTTTTTCTTACACGCATGCGTCATAGCGTCGCCTCTAAACACGCATGCGCGACACAGTATCACAACAACAATGGCGTACTGTGTTGAATGGTTGCTGCTAATGCTACTCACCCTGCTGTCGGGCTTACAACGGAATCTTCTTCTTCTGGAATATCTCCAGGAAGAACAGAGCAATATCCACGACATAGTTCAGCACCTGAATTTGACTGAACCACGAAAATAAACCCGCAGGGCAACCATGTATAAATATTAGTGCGCATGCCCAACATTTCGTCGCCTATTTTTGCTTTGGCACCACAGCGCCACTTACAGGGCTTGCATACATTTTGCAGCGTTTTCATGCATTCGTGTGGACGATCACATTTATTTTACATCTCCGTCTTCACGACAAACGTTCTGGAAAATATTAGCGTTTCGTGTTCGTTTTGACTTCGTGTGGACGGGGCCTAAGTTTTCAGGTGGATTTTCCCACTTAAAAACATATTAAAACTACTTTATTCCCACTGATCACAGCAAATATAGCTGCAAGGTAGAGAAAGGATAGTGAAGCTCCGCCCAACGCGCGTCAGACCCACTTTTGCACCGCGCAGCCAGAGCAGCAAAGCTGCTTCAGCCGCGCGTCAGACCTAACTGGTACAAGCAGCAAAAATGAAGCAGCAAACGCGATTTTGCTGCTCTTGCTGCATCCGGTGTGAACGTAGCATTATTAAGCATCATTTAGGTAAATGGCCGAGAACAGAATCATAGAAGTGGTTTAACGACGGCAGCTTTATCAAAATGCAGAATAAATATTGGAACTCAGGAAGCAGAAGGAGTTCATCTTTCTGTTTCCTGGCTGCTGTGCTACTATACCTGCTCTGCGCACTGGGATCTTCTTCTGGTCTTTTACCAGGATGTACTGCACCACTTCAGCAGTCTGAATGACAGTTAATTAAAGTATATTAACATTTTTATTCTAACTTCTCATTTTTTCTTTTTAAAACATTCTTTTTTTCTCCTCATCAGTTTTGATTTATTAAGCAACAGCGCATTTGACACCACCATGAAGAAACTTTGACTTTTTTTTTCTTTATTTCAGAATTTAACAATAAAAGTTTACACAGAAATTAATGTCTTAAGTCATGTATATATATTCTGTTTTTTGTATATGTATTTTTAACCCGAAATCAACCTTTTTTTATTACAGTACAAAAAAATAATTTTCAGAGTAGGAAGAACAATAGGATGATATCTGTTTTAAGTGATACATGTTGATGTAGTTCTCTCTTTCTTTTGGTCTAATTTTTCTGTCAAATTAAAAATTAACGAAGGGTAATAATGCTTGTTTATACAGTTTTGGCTCGATTCTTCCTCTTAGTGAGTGGCTCTTTCAGAAAATTGCATATGATAGAGTTTGTATACTACAGTTAACTAATTTATTGCTAAATTAGTTGATTATTTCAATAATCACAATTAATCAAATCTATCTTTTCAACCCTGATTACGGTAATATTTAACTTTTCTGTGTTGTCCTGGTGGTCCTACCACTTTCAAACAATATAGATATGATCATGTTAAGACACTAAGGTTAGTTAGAGCCCATCCAACTGGCCAACTACATTATAAAAGTACAGTGTTAATAACTGACACTTTAAATATTACATTCCAACACATACAGTTTTGCATTCAAGCCGTCTTTTTGTTCCTGTGATACTGCAAAGAAAGAAACTATAATTTGATATGCAGCTCTTCATCCAGCAGTGCTTAATAAAAGGTATTATTTGAAATTATAATATTCTTGGAGATAAAATTTGATATTTTTTCACAAATGCTACATACAATTCTGGTTCATAAGTGTGTTACCTTTTGGTCAACCTGCGCAGGTGTAAGTTTCTCCAGACCTCTTTGGACCTGGGAGGAGCTTGGCTGTGTAAACGTCACATCTTCGTCTTCCTCCTGCGTCATAACGCTGTTGGACTGCCGCTAGATAAAAAAATTAATAAATAAAAAAAAACACAAAGTGACTGTCACAATCCCGTAGAAACGGTCACAGGTTAATGCCAACAGAACAATTTATTCCATTTAGGAATATGCTATGTTTGCCAAGTTATAACTGTCTAATTTTCAGTTCAAGCTCTATCAGCAGAGTCTGGTTAATATGTACACAGAATTCATCATAACATTTAAAAATAAAAATTATGTACATACAATCATAACCACACACACACACACAAAAATAATAGGATTTTCAATGGCAATGACATATGGATCTGCCTGGTAGATTTCTTGATGAACACAGATTGATCAAAATGCAGAGATTACTTTCATCTACTTTAATATACCAGTGATGATTCAACTTCATGGGACAAATATCTTCAGAATGAGACAAAACACCACATTGTAAAGTGTATGTTTCTAAAAGCTGGGCACATTCGGATTATTAACTTGCATCTAAAAAAATAACATTTTTCATTTAAATTTAGAAATTGTCAGGCCTAAATTTCTAGAATGTCTTTTTTTATATAAAATTGCATACATCTGACTATATAAAATTAACTTATTTGAGATTTATCACCTGTATATTTCGCACACTTTTGAATAAGTAGTGTGATCATTATTTAAGCTTTTATGATCTGGAGAAATCAGTTGTAAAGTACAACTCAGACATAATTCTCAAGTTTGAGTAAGATTATATCAAATGTTTTTTATATTTAATCATAGTTTATGATCATGATTTTTTTTTGTATCTAAATCAGACCTAATAATAATTATAATAAAAGAGATCTTTTTAATGTGTGGATTATATCATTAAGCTTAAACCCCAAAATGGTAATTGAGTTGGACAGAAAAAAATATTCCTTGTGTGAACAATAAAAAAGTATATAACTCAGATGTCAACAAAGGTTAAAAGTGTTATATTCTTTAAAAAAATAAAACATTTCCTCTTTTAGATCAACAAAACATCAACCTTTAAAAGTCAAACACTTATATTAACATATGTACATTTGAAAATATATTAAAAATTGTATTATTATCCTGTACAGTTTATAATCCTGCGTATATAGAGTTCAGTTAAAGAAATATTGTAACAAAGCCGGTGCCTCTGACCTGGGAAACATGGCGGCGGAACAACCCTGTTGGTTCATTGCACTTACTTTACTTTGACTGAGCCTCAGTGTGTTAGAGGGTCGTTTTCTTTGAGTCATGGCTGCAGAGCGTCTAGGGAAAAAAAGCATTTTATTTAAAAATTTAAGCCACAATTCAAACCAGAACCGAAACAGTAGGAAGTGATGGAAGGTGGCTTTAGCTGAGCAGCGCGTTGGCTTATTAAACGACGAAAAAAATCATTTATAAACAGCTTTTTACCTCACAGAGTGCGTCTAGAGTTAGGTTGCTCAATAGTTGTTTATAAAAATAGGCTAAACTATTTCACTCATTCGCTAAAACGACCGTTTCAGTAAAAAAATTAAAAAACAGTTTTTGGATCGGCTGTTTCAGTTGTCGACTTCCCGCTACAACGTCCGCTGCTGACGTAGAATAGCCGCGCCTAGAAGGGTTGCAATACGTCAAGACCATCGCCATATTGGAAGGGTGGACATTGGCCTTAAAACATTCAAGTGACTGCAGGGGCTTCAGTTTTAGCTGAATTTAACAGATTATGTTACGTTGTCAGACAAATGGCATAATATCTAGAAACATACCTAAGTGTTCTGCTCAGGAATGTCATCAGTTGATTTATGTAAAAAAAAAAAAAAAAAAGTAAAACCCTTTATTGTCCAACAATGAGGAAATTCACTCTCTGCATTTGACCCTTCTCCTTGGGGAGCAGTGGACTGCCATTGTGTGGCACTCGGGGAGCAGTGAGGGGTTAAAGTTCTTGCCCAGGAACACAGAGTAGAGGCTGTGGGGATCAAACTTGGTACTTGCAACCTCCTCAGAGCACAAGCGCACTGCTCTAACCAATAGGCCAACACTCCCCAATTGGCATGAATCAATTGAATCCCATCTTCTAGGTATGCCAAAATGCTTCCTCCACCCCTTGGTCCATACTTTATCTTGGTTTTTTTGAACAATTTACTGATATTTTATATCTCATAACATCCCTACACTACATCTCTTATAACCTTGGAACTCTGGACACACCCTCAACTCATAAATAATGATATCTCCAAATCCAGGGTCATATTTAGATGAGCTTATTGGACCCCTTCAATTATTGGACCATAAACTAATTCATTTCAAAAGTTTTGTAGGTTGTGGTGTGCCGTATAAACCAGTCACATTTCTCCACACCAACCTTTATATACATGAGCCACGGGAATGATTAGAACTGTCATGTTAATTGACTATATCAATGACAATGAAAAAAAAATAAAGTTGTCATATGTGGACGCACTGTATTTACTGTATATAGCCCATGCACCTTTTTCTTCCTTTTGCACGTTCTTCTTTGACTATTTAAGCAGATGTACATTTCTCCACTGTGAGATCAATAAAGTCAATCAATCAATCAGTTGCTATACCTCCACTCAGGTTATAATTAAAGAGTTGTGTGTGCACCTCATGGTTCAAAAACAGCATTTAGAAATGCTGTGGAGGACCATTTCTAAAAGGAGACTGTTCTCTAAAACTGCAGTGCACAAGTGTTCCAGCAGGAGGCAGTAGGAGCTCTAGGTAGCTCCAAACTGTCGTTAAACCGAAAAAGAAGATGCCGAGAAGTAGGAAGCAGCAGGAGAAGAAGAAAAAGAAGAAGTAAAGGTTAACAAGATTGATTTTAAAGTAAGTATAAAATAAAAACATGACATGTAGGATTTAATGGTTTCTATACATAACACAGTAGAAAAAAATGTGTCAGTTCTGAAGGTAACATTTATACATAGTTCCTCGTGTTTACTTACAGCTACAAACAGACTTTATTTTTAATATGAATAATGATACGTTAACTGGAATTAGAACTTCCGGTCTGAAGTTTTTTACAGAATCCATGCACAGTTTGGAAATAAATTATTTTCCAGGTTTGAATGACTACTGATTTGATTCCTTAACTCGCTGTCTAAGTTGTTCTATTCTTCCTATTTCATTCATTCATTTCTTTCCTTCCATCCCTCCAATTTTCCGACTATCTTTAAATGTATTCTCCTTGTTCGATGTTTAGTTAAAGAATCTTTAAATGGGTTTAGGATCCTTTCCCTGTTGGAAGTCATCAGGCTTCATTTAGTTCATTACATGCCACATCACAGCTGCCACCTCCATTCTTAACAGATGTATAATGTTATGTTTGAAAAGACAAATCCTTTTACTTTTTCAATAAAATTAAGTATCTAATTCAGGTATACTTCATATTTTAGTTTGGCTTATTGTTTTATGAAGATTTACTATTAAACCCCATTACACTTAGGGTTCTAATCCACACTTAGATCAGTTAATGCTTGTCAAATATGAGAGATCATGACCCCTGATATAAGAAAAATAAATAGATTACAAGCTCCTCAGCCTCTTTAGGCAGCAGTTTGGGTCATAAGGTTTCCTATCAGTCCAATGGGTGGTCAGGACCCAATCACTCTTGATCACCCATTGTTTGATTTGTGATCTTTCATAGTGTGGTGATTAGGGCTGGGTAAAAAAAATTGATTGAATCGATTCCTTTACATTTTTGCAAAATCGATGTCTAGGGAATGAGATCGATTAGTACGTGACGTTCACATTCGAATGAGCAGGAAAGATGCACTCAAGATTACTTCAAGTCAGACAGCTGCAAATATAGCCAACAGGTTGACTGAAGACATTAACAAATGGGGGCTGACCCGCAAACACCCTGTAGTTGTTACAGACAACGCTGCATATATGGTTTGTGCACTGAAGATAATGCAGCTCATGCATGTCTGAGTGAGTGAGGCTTAACTTTTTCACTTTTCACAAACAAGTTTGCACTTATGAGACAGTTTTGTTCACATCTCAAGTTTAAACTTTCTGATTTACAAGTTTGCACTTTGTGTTTAATGTGACAGGAAAAAATAAAATACATGAGTATTTTGAAACACAGTTGAACCACTTTCATTATTGCAAAAACAGATCGAATCAAAATTGAATCGATTCAGGACTTTGGCGAAAATACCCAGCCCTAGTGATGATGTTTGCTTGTCTTGTCAGGTGACTGTGAGTGTAGGTAGAACCTCTGGAGAGACAGGATGCCTCTGGAGGTCAAGTGGCCCTTCCCACAATGCCCCGCACTAGCATGGAGGGTCTCCAGCTCCTTTGTTATGGGAATGGTCGGCACGTATTCTTATATCTGGACCAGTAAGTTTTTAATCCCATAAATATATATACACGTGTAAAAACAGGTATCCTTCTACAGCAACAAAGCAAAAATACATTTAGTTGTTTTTTTCTATTCTTTATTTTTGTGACTCATTAGTTTTGGGTTTTTTTCTTTCAGAGTACATGAATTACCTAACAGTTCACAATCAGGAGGTTCTGTTGGACCTGATTGACCACAGGCCGTCAGACACGCCCCTCATCACCTTGGCCAATCACCAGTCTTGTATGGATGATCCACATATCTGGGGTAAGACAAAGTAAACTTTAAAAAATTCCCTCTTTGTGGGTCTCAGTCAGAAGTAATCAGGATCATGGAAATAACAGCTTTTGTTTGGAGCAGGAGTTCTGAAGCTCCGGCAGCTGTGGAACTACAAAAAGATGCGCTGGTGAGTTTAACCCCGGACAGTCTTTCTCAGCCGTAAGACGTCCCTGATTTTTCCTCCTGATGACAATTTAAACCTCTTCACCTGCACCTGAACAGGACGCCGGCAGCGTCGGACATCTGCTTCACCAGAGAGCTTCACTCCAGGTTCTTCAGCCGGGGAAAGTGTGTTCCTGTCTGCAGGGGTGAGTGTGTAAAAGCTCATCATTTCGTTTTTTTACCAGCTGAATGACTCACATTAGGTCTTCATCACAGGCGATGGTGTTTATCAGAAGGGCATGGACTTTATCCTAGAGAAACTAAATAGAGGAGAATGGGTTCACATTTTCCCTGAAGGTATGTCCCTAGTTTAGCTTCTTTGTATCACCGCTGTCCCTTTTAGTGCATTCTTTGGGACCATTGCAAAATGTTTTTTCTTTTTTTTTTTATTCCCCATTGAACAGGAAAAATCAACATGACTGAGGAATTTATTCGCCTTAAATGGGGTGAGTGGAAAAAATGTATTCTCTTCCAAAACATCTGATAAAGAGCAGAATTAAAGGAATAGTACACCCAAAACATGATTAGCCTTCATTTTCTACTCACCCCCATGCTGAACAACACTCTGGAGTACTTTTTTGATATCTCAAATGCATCTGGAGATCTGGGAGGCTTCTTGCTGTCTGCTGACATTCAAATAATGGAGGTCTATGGTGACCGAGACAGAAAGGTCCATAAAAGTCCACAAAAAACGTGTCAATATTCCTCCATACTGCTCGTCCAATGTATTCCAAGTGTCCTGAGTGGGTAGCGTCCATAATTTACTCGAAACGAAGTCATTTAGAATGTTTTTAGAGCATAAACAGTAGTGTATAGGATTTCCTGAAAGCGCGTTCACGACGCTACGGAAACCGCGGCAGACCAAACCAGATGAAAGTGCGGATTCAGCTCGGCAAAGAACTCATGCTCTTCCTCAACACTGAAGTCCTCAGACATTTTTCTTTCGTTGTTTCTTTCTTTGCACAGGTAAACAGCAAATCTCTTCTTCTACGCTTGCATTATTGGCAGAGCAGACGCTGAATGCGCACTTTCATCTGGTTTGGTCTGCCGCGGTTTCCGTAGACTCGTAAACGCGCTTTCAGGAAATCCTATACACTACTGTTTATGCTCTAAAAACATTCTAAATGACTTCGTTTCGAGTAAATTCTGGATGCTACCCACTCAGGACACTTGGAATACATTGGACGAGCAGTATGGAGGAATATTGACACGTTTTTTGTGGACTTTTATGGACCTTTCTACCTCGGGCACCATAGACCTCCATTATTTGAATGCAAGAAGCCTCCCAGATCTCCAGATGCATTTGAGATATCAAAAAAGTACTCCAGAGTGTTGTTCAGCATGGGGGTGAGTAGAAAATGAAGGCTAATCATGTTTTGGGTGTACTATTCCTTTAAGAGAGCACCACTCAGGCCGTACATTTAGATGAAGCAGGAAAATCGGATTAATAGATATGTTACTAAAGAATTCTTATTACTCCTGATCTTTATGTTTTGATTTAAAAATTTCAGTATCATATTTTAAAGGTAGAAAGATGAAAACTTTCTACAAACATGTCTGCATTGCTCTAGCTTTGAGATATAGACTGGAGGGCCTAAAATCTACCAAGATGATATTAAAACACCACCAGCAGCAACTGGCCTCTGTTTACCCTGTTTTTTTTCATTTATCAGATTGAATTTTCATTCGCATAGATGTGTATTAGTGTTGTCACGAAACTAAACTTTTCAACTCGATACCGATGCTAAGTAAAATATTTGATGCTCGATACCATTTTTG